TTACGGGCGCTGGACGTGTGTCGTAATCTAATGTGATGTGGTAATTGAATGGACAAGCTTTACCGTTGGAGCGTGGGAGGATTTTTTTTTTTTTTTTTAGGAAAGCTGCTTGTATTGATGTTTATGGTCGACAAAAAACTTAAAGGTTGTATGGAGGATTTTTTTTAGTTTCAAATTATCAGTGAAAGTTTAAAATACCATTACAGAGACGCAGCAGCCTTGTAATTATGATGACCAAAAAAAAAAAAAAAGAATGAAAATCTATCAACTGTGGACGTAGTGAGGCCAGATAAACATCGGCCAATAGAAAACAAGGCTCCCTCATTTTCTATTGGCTGTTAGGTCGTCAATCAAACTCCAAATATTTCTAGTGTAACTGAGTTGCCAGCGCGCGGGGATTACGTGGTTTATACAGCGGTTCTTAGAGGCTTTTTTAAACTGTAGCTTCCTCGCAGTTCGCACAAAGTTTGTTGCGATGGCGGACGAGAATCCACGACCAGTTCGCCGCGAAAGAAAGCTTGTTTTTGAGGTCGCTGAAAGAAGAAGAGAAGGGGAAAAGGAGCGAAGCCAAACGGAGGCGATTCTTGGAGATCTCTTCCAGCGATTGCGTGACTGAAGCAGACGAAGGGTCTAAAAACTGACATGTCGGTCTCTAAATTATTTCTAGACAGGTCACTTCAGCAGTAATTCTGAACGCGCACTGGATGTAAACAAGCGTGATTTCTACAGTAAGGAGTCGGGAGGAGGTGTTTCTGTTGAGGGAGCTGTGGAGGAGGAAGGTGGTGTCACGCATGCACAACATTTGAAAAAGAACTGTCGCTGTATTTCTCTTTCCTTAAAAAATCCTCTATACAACCTTTAAAGGATCAGAATTTTGGACGTAGGACCTCATTTCCTAGTGAGCCAGAGTGTTGGAGACGTGTGGAGACACTTTTTAAAAATTCCATCCAGTCCTTGTATTTGCAGAGGTCGCTGGTGCTAGACTAGTGCATGTCAATGGCCATAGTTATCCTGCCACTAAAAACAGTCTTACCCACTCCACAAAACACCCGAAGCAAAACTGTTATTACTCCAGACTGTCGATGTAAACGTCTGTGTTGATAGAATAATTTTAGAAGCAAAACTAACCTTGCATTTGAAGGATTTACGTCTGAGCAGCAGCAGCGATTTGTACTTCCTCGGCAGTGTCGGACTGATATATGAAAAAATAGTCCCTCAACATGCGACAATTCATGCGATGTAAGGTTATTTTTATTTCAGACATTATTCTATCGACACAAACATTTACATTGACAGTCTGGTGTAATCGTAGTTTTGCTTCAGGAGGAGGTCATGGGCTGGACCATGTAGAAGACGAGAGACCTGGTTGAAGTTTTGTTTCATTGTTTTTGTGTATTTGGTTTTATAGTTTATGTTAAACATTGTGATTTCAAAATGGACTTAGGCCCATATAAATTAAATCCTAGCTTTACTTCTGACCTCTAAAGAAAATGACCTGGTGGAGATACTTCCTGCTCTGGGTATAAAAGCAAGCAGGTTTTGTCAACTGGGGAGAAACTTTAGTGCAGATGGGTGCATGGTGTTGTTGCATTGATTTCATTTGAGTTACTTATTTTCTGTTTGAACTGTTTATTTGTATTTTATTTGACGCTACACTGGAAGTTTGTTTTAAAACTTGTGACCCAAATCTGATTTTTTTCACCACTACGCGACCTGTATCTGATCTTTTAATGATGATCCAGGCCACAAACCGATACATGTCTGATCTTTTGACATGCGACTTCGGTCTGAACGGCCAGGTCACATTCATCCCACCTACACGTCAGGCTCAGAGTCTAGTCAATGGAGGGAAAGCGAGGTTAGCGAGTTTATTCATATTTGGGGGGAATCGTTGTATTCAGGCCAAATTGGAGGGGTCTTATAGGAACCAGGCGTTTTTGAAATGACAAAGAAATACAAGAAAACACAATGACGTCACATCCGGGGCAGCAGCCATTTTGGTAGGCAAAAAGCATCCGTATCAACTCGTCAACATCAACATCGTCAAAAGTTTTAACTTTTCAAAGTAACGTTTTTGATCCTCAACATTCAGTGACTTAGAGTAAGATGATGAAGTCACGTCACAACAATTAAATGCTAAACCTACTTCAAAATAAGATGAGTTATCTCCTGACAGACATACGCAACGCAACTGTCAACACAAACAAGCGGCCCCACTGACTTTTTGCCTACCAGCCTCTGAGCATGTGCGGAAAAGCCACATGTAAACAAAAAAGTTTTCTCGTATGGCTGAGGGCTACAGGTGGTTCTGGCTCCAATGTGAAGAAAAAAAAAGAGCCTGCGAGACAAATATAAGGAGGCTAAACACTCAAAGAAACGAAGCAACCGTGGACTTGTAACCTGTCCATTTTACGAAGAACTGGACCGTATTTTGTGAGACAAGCCCAGCGTTTAGGCGACTTCCATAAACACCGAGTACGCTCTCTGTGTGACATTATCGTGTCCTCCAGTGCTCATGCGAGACACTTTTGGGGAGTTCACACTGGAGATCACATACAAGTCACATTTAACTGGAAATGTGAACGACCTCGCAAAAAAAAAATCTGATTTCACAAAAAGCCCTGCAGTCAGAACGTCGCCTTAGAGACATGATTTTGATCTACCCTCCTCCAGAAAACTTTTACAGTGTGTCTTTAATGGGTTAAAAGTTAATAAGAAATTCTACATTCAAAAGCGATCTTCCAAACTGCTTCAATGGCCCATTTTTTGCTGGAAATTGCGTATTACCATTAGAGAAAGTGGTCGTTTATTTGAAGTTCTATTCCAGCCCTCGGGCCCGGGTCACTCTTGGTCATTCCGGGTGATGGACAGTGAGCTGGTGAGCTGCTCTGGGGCCAATCATACAGACAGACAGACAGACAGACAGACAGACATTTGGACAGAGAAATGTTCCTGTGTCTCCTCTGGGCCCCGGTGCAGTGATGAATGAGTAAGCGGAGAGAGCGAGGGTCTACGGGGAATAGAACCGTCGCACAACTGACAGAGAGACCACCAATTGAGACCACGTAAGTGACCATCCTCTCTCCTGTATGTTCCACCCAGACTGCAGGTGATTACACTGACACCGGGAACATATAAATCTCAAGTAAAGCAAGTTAAAGCTGCACTGTGTCACTTTTACTTTATGGTCTGCTGCCTTCACTTAGATCAGAGGTGGGCAATTATTTTTTCCGTAGGGCCACATGAGAAACAGAAAATATTGCGGAGGGTCATCAATTCTGCATAATATTAATTGTATTTCTTTATTAAAACAGTAAATAAAATTGTTTTGACGAGCTGGTGAGACTGGCAAGAGTTTATGTTATGACTAAACAATTAAAAAGTGAGGTTGCTTTACAAAAAATGTCATTAAAAACACGTCTAGAATGAAATTAATTCCGCTTTAGTCCATGCATGAGGTAAAATTATAAAATATGTTTATTTTGTAATTCCAAATTATCTTAAACGTGCCAGATCTGACTTAGATACTACTGATTTACTTTAATTTTTCCGTAGTATGACATTAAACATATCTATATCTTCATGGAGACAAGCGTATGAAACCAGGAGGCCAAGTTACAGGTCAGATCTGTGGAAAGGCGACCCCACTTATCGTTAGTTTGCTTGTTTTCCTCAGAATTGTTGAGCAGTAAAACTAAATGTTGGTTGCACTAATGTGGAAGCAATAACATCTTGATCAATATCAGAAAAAATTTGCAGAGGACGTCTAAACTGACTTCTAAGCCAAACTTCTGGTCAGGTCTGTGGAGAGGCGATCCCACTTACAATAAGAATGCATGTTTTTACACAGAAAAGATCTGTAAAAATAAATGTTGGTTGCACATATGGAAACAATAATGTCTTTACATAAGAAAAATGCAGAGGACCTCTAAACTGAGTTTTAGGCCAACCTTTTAGTCAGATCTGTGGAGAGGCGACCCCACTTACTGTTAGAATGCATGTTTTCCCCCAGAAAATAGGACTAAACCAGAACTAAAACCAGGTCTAAACTAGATCTAAACCAGGTCTAAACCAGAACTAAAACCAGGTCTAAACTAGATCTAAACCAGGTCTAAACCAGAACTAAAACCAGGTCTAAACTAGATCTAAACCAGGTCTAAACCAGAACTAAAACCAGGTCTAAACTAGATCTAAACCAGGTCTAAACTAGAACTAGGTAAACTAGATCTAAACCAGGTCTAAACTAGAACTAAAACCAGGTCTAAACTAGATCTAAACCAGGTCTAAACTAGAAGTAAAAACCAGGTCTAAACTAGATCTAAACCAGGTCTAAACTAGAACTAAACCAGGTCTAAACTAATCTAAGGTCTAAATCAGTAAACCAGGTCTAAAACAGGACTAAAACAGGTCTAAATCAGGACTAAACCAGGACTAAACCATGCTGCATGGACATGTCTTTTCTTCTATCAATAATAATTTTAATACAGTTAAGTAAAGTCTGGGCTTTTCATTTTCTTTCTTATGGTAACATCTTATGTTAACATATCTTAGTCTTTGCTTTTCTACAGCAAATCAAGTAATCCAAAGTATTCAGATTAAGTTACTCATATTAAGTAATTTAATGGATTATGTTACAAACTACATTTTGGGCTATGTAATCTGTAATCTGTAGGGGAATACATTTTAAAAGTCACCTTCCCAACACTGAACATGGTTTAAAACTCACAAGAATCCATTTTGTGTAACAGCACCTTTAAGCCCACTTGCATATTTTAATTGGACGTAGATTCTTCTAAAACGGTTCTGCTCCTTTCAATCTCCAAAAGCAGAAATCTCCTAAATCTCCTAAAATATCCACAGACGATTCTTATTGCGCCCTTCTCTCCTGTATTACGGTAGGAGGCCGGTCTGACAGGGCATGCTTGGCTGCTGGGCGTGTTTATGCTTTGTGCGTGTGTCCTGGCTGTCAGCTCCACCACACCGGCTCCAGCTGCCCCTCTCACCCAGACAGACGCACTCCTCCCCGGCTCCGTGCACCGCGTCTCTCCCCTCTGCAGCCTCCGCGCTCTGGATCTAACCAACCCCGGTCTTTACTCCAGAATAATAATAATAATAATAAAAAAAAAAAGCCACAACCTCTGCTCGGAGATAAGTCCGCGGGAAAGCAGAAGTCAGAACAGCGGCGGAAACGCGGTGAAGCAGCCGTGCCAGAGCGCAGACAGGATCGCAACACCAGGTGAGCATCCAGACTGGACATTGGCTTTGAAACGCGATTGACAGCGCAAAATCCATGCATAAAAAGTGAAAATAACATTACTAAAACGCTATAACTTAGAGTATCCGACGCGACATAGCCTACTTTTCGTAATTGTTTTGTTTAATGTCGTAGCCTATCCATTAAATCCGCTGGTAAAGGTTAATGTCGCGTTGACTTTCTTGGAGACATTTGTTCTACTTGTGTTGTGTATTGGGTTTGTTTGGCAGGGGAAAAAAATGCATATATACGTCTAAAAAGTCAAATATAAGATTACAAACTGACCATAAATTGGACTATCTGGACAGACGTAGCATAAATTCACTTTTAATGTAATAATTTTAAACATCGTAGACATATTGGAGACTGTCCTGAAGGCATTTGTTGTTGGCTAAAGTATATTTTGTTTATCATGCACTATTTGATGTGTTTGACAGGCAAAACGTCACCATAACGTTACTAAAAATAGGGGTGTAACGATATCTAAGTCTCACGATACGATATCGTCACGGTATGAACCTCACGGTACGATATTTATTGCGATATCGTGGGAAATCGTGAGATCGTGGGATGTAACAATGTCCAAATCTCTGTACGATATTTTCACGATATACATCTCAAGGCATGATATTTATTGTGATATTTTGTGGAGGCTGCAAACAAAACTGTTAATATGCTACTTTTTCTTCTTAAAATGCCTTGACAAGATTTAATCCAAAGACTTAAAAGTGCTTAGATCTGTTATTTCTTCTTGTAGTCTGCACTGAAATGGAGCAAAGGATCATGGTCGATGTAGTTCCGTTTGTTTTTTTAACTATTGCTGCACCATAACTCTTAATTTAAGCAAAGAGACTTGTAATTCGATATATTGTGATGGTCCAAGATATTATTGTGAGAACTTTGTGAGACAAAACGACATCACAATATTTCGGTTAATGTTACATCCCTACTAAAAAGCTGTTAGATAAGCCATCTGAAGAGTCCTAACCTGCTTTTCATAAAAAAATGTATATACTAAATATTTTTTGATTCGTTTTTATTTCGCATTTGTGCCAAGAGAAAAACAATAATCATATACATACACAATAACATTGTAAACTGTAATAACATAACACTGTAAACAACAGAAAAGAACATTTCTCAAAAAGGAGTGGGAAGAACAAAAAAACTTATATTCAGTAACCCACACCTATTCATTACATAGTTTCAAAAATTCTAAAATTATGTGGTTGCTGTATTTTGATGACGAAACTTTACAAATATTTACATATAGCTAAATAAATTTCGTACAAATATGTAGTACTGTATACTAAAAAGTAGGCGTGTAACAATAACCAAAATATCGTGATATCATATCGTAGAAAGTCTCTCACTAGTTTCTTTGCTTAAATTCATTGTTATGGTGCAGCATTACTAAAAAAAACAGAGGGAACTACATTGACCATGATCCTTTGCTCCATTTTGGTGCAAACTACATGAAGAAATAACAGTTCTAAGTACTTTTAAGTCTTAGTTCTTTGGATTAAGTCTTGTCAAGGCATTTTAAGAGGACATATCACAATAAATATCGTACCGTGAGATGTATATCATGAAAATATTGTACTGTGAGATTTGGATATCGTTACATCCCTACTAAAAAGTCAAAAATAAGATAATAAACAGACCATAAATTGGGTTTTTAGAAGAGATGCACTTTTCATATCATTTTAAAAAGCCCATTTTACGCTATTTTCTGATTTGTTATAATGTTAGTTCCTCTTCACAAACAGACCTGGAGTTGCCTTTTGTTTCATTCACACATGTTTGAGTATTTATGATTAGTCTGTCTCCATCTCCAAAGCTCAAAATGATCAAATTGTACTTTTTGTTCAGTAGAAATTGGCAAATCCAGAGCTGAAATTATCCAAATGATTCAAGTGAAGGTGTATGGAGTTTAAAAACACAGTGGTTTCTGAATCACCACATGACATCACAAGGTGGAAGAGAGTGTTTGAAAGAAGAATTAAGCCTAAATATTCAGGATTTGTGTGTTTAAACATGTGTGAATGAAACAAAACACAACTCCAGGTCTGTTTTTGATGAGGAAACGTAACATAGATCAGAAAAAAGCATAATATTGTCCCTTTTAAACTTGTTAAACTCATTTGTTAATCTAGTTTTGACTTTCTTAGAGGCATTTGTACTCTGTGTACAATTGGAATATTATAGGTACTTTGAGATTTGAGTGCGTTACGAGGAGTTTGGTGTTTCTATAATATGTTCTGGATAGGTTCGTGTTGACAGCTCACTTTACTTTGGGGAAGAAAACCCGAGCAATGGGACTGGTAAAACGTGTAATTTTGAGTTGTCTGTTTCTCTAAATTACGGAGAGATGACACAGACTTGGAGGTGAGCGTGTCAGCTATTTCGAGGCTAAATACTACTCTAGAACTTGGTAAATACTTAAAGTTTTTGGCATAGTTTTGTATAGTCTGTGTCTTGGTTCTATTTATCTGTGCACGCTTTCATAATCGTTCGTTTGAGCTCACGTCATAATAAAATGCTTTTCTCCATTGAGGTGTTATTGCTTGGTCTGGAATGTTTCGCAGTATGGCATTAAACCTTTTTGTCTTCATGGAAACCAAACCGGACTAAGTTACAGTCAGATTTGTGGAGAGGCAGTAAGAAAACCTGTTTTTCTAGGTGTTTTTGAGCAATAAAAACACCAGTAATTGAGTAAATGTAAAGTAAGGTAGAGCTGTTTAATGTCATACTGTGGAACATTCCAGCCAGAAACAAGCAGGTGATGGATTCCCAAAGAAAAGGTTACACAGTGCAGCTTTAACTTTTGAAATATTTAGATCCATGCGTCATTTATTGGCACTTTGTACCACAATATCACCTTAAAAATACAACGAAGATATGATGCTTTAAGCTGCTCTTATATTTTTCCACACCCATTCGTCCTATTGGTCAGAAATGTCATGCTCTGAGTGATTGACAGGTGAATTCAACCAATCACAGCAAAGTGCTTGAATAGAAGATGGTGGCTTAAGTTCAGTATTTGTTTTTAGTCATAGAAAGCTTTCTGATTTATGGACTACAACCATTGTGATATTTGTTATGGTTCATGTTTGTAGTGGTTGTATTTGCTCATTTTGTTGTTTTATTTTGACATTTGTCGTGTCCGCTTGTAGTTTTGAGTTTCACTTCCTGTCTTGATTGTTTGCCCCGCCCTAATGTGTTTCACCTGTGTCTGTGTGCATTTATACCTTGTGTTCTGCTCTGCCCTTTGTTGGTCCATTGTCTCTGTCAGATTCACAACTTGTCTCATGTCATGGCAGTTTAGTTTCGAATTTTGGATTTTTTTGGATTTATGGATTTGTTATTAAATATGTTAAAGCAGTCCTGTATTTTGGGTCCTCCCTCTGTTTCTACATGACAATATCACTAGTAGGGCTGGACTGGCTGGGCTGGAGCCGCCTAGTGCCTTCGCTCAGTTTCATTTCTCTCCAGCGACTAGGTCAGGAATTGGAATACACTAGACTAGACGGTTTGCAAGAATCCCAAAAGTTATAGACCGACCAATCAGTGAAGAGCTCTGAAGCCATGACTGGGTCCCTTTTGTGGTACAGCACAACAGTAAACAAAGTGTCGTGATGGATGTAGACGAAGACAGACATTCTGTGTTGGCAACAAGTCCCGAGATTGAGGATTTAAAGTTGGAACAAAGTGAATGTTTGGTGAATTTTATCAAGGGGAAAGACATTATTGCCCTTCTTCCTACGGGGATTTGCCGCATTACATACGTCACGACCAAATAGCAGCGATTGGTTAAGTAAAAAAAACTACCTGCCTACCATCGAGCGAACGAATCCTAATGCTGCGAGGTCAGAGGGTTTCCACAAAGTGAAACCATCTGATGAATCAGACTAGAGCTGGACAATATGAAGAAAAAAAAAAAAATCACCCTTTTTCTTCTTAATTTTGATTATGAATTTTATTGTGACTTTTTTTTTTTTTTTTTTAAATAGTAAAAAATAGCTTTCAATATACATTTTCTGAACATAAAAACAATGCATCGTTTTAATCATTGTCATTTAACACAAAAACAGTCAGGTTATTCCGCTTAAAGGTGCAACTTTTTTGAGGGAGATGTAGACGTATATAGCCTGGAATGTTTCGCAGTACGGCATTAAACCATGGCGACAAGCAGGCCAAGGTACAAGTCAGATCGGTGGAGAGACGAGCCCGTTCACACAAGACTGCAAAGTATTTCTGAACAATAAAATCACCTCTAATGGAACAAAGGCAGAACAGAATTTTAATGCCATACTGTGGAACATACTAAGCAACGTAATAACAATTCCTTAAAGACAAAAATGTGACGTACCCTCCACCAGAAAAGTTACACAGTGCACCTTTAAGTCCAAACTCTGCTCCAAACCACATGATTTTATTGGATTGCCTGTGGACTTGTCGATTACGAAGACTCAAACTGGTCACTGAGGATTTGAAATGACAAAATCTCCGTCTTAATAAAAAAGAAAAAAAAAAAAATCTTCCTTAATACTACTAAGTATTCCAAAGTCTTATCACCGTGGATAATTGCTCCCACATCTGAAAATCAAACGTGTAAAAGTGACGTGAGCTCTGCTTCAATGACTGAAATAACTGCCCCTCTGTGACCTATTGGAGTTGCATTGGGACTAATTAAACTTCAGCTTCTCATCTCAGCTGTTTCCACTCAGGGGTCACCGCAGTGAATCATCGGCCTTCATCTATAACCTGAACTCATCCTCCTCGTCCTCTCTCTTTCTCACCCTCCTCTTCCTCCTCTCTACTACACTGCAAAAAACTAAAACCATTGCTTAAAGTTAAAATGACTTGAATAAAGAAAATGTCATCTTGATTTGAGTAAATTTCACATTCGCAGTAAAATAATCTATGAATGGAATCAGACTTTTCGTGCTTAAAATGGATAAATACCTCTTGTTTTACAA